CGTTACATGCGCGCGAACTTGATGTATAATTTGCAAAATTTTGTGTTACTCACTCATTTATTGGAGGGCACTGTACACGTACTGATCTTGAATATTAATATTCAGGAATAACAATTTTGGCCAAGGCCTTAAAATAAAAAGTCAATTCTACTCTAATATAAAGTCAGGTTTTACAGTAGTAATATCACAAAGCTATTTTGACTGCCCAAAACTAATAAGAAAAAACTTAAAATATGTTGTACTTTTTAACGGCTTTTGTACCTCAGATGAGTTAAGCAGAATACTTCGTTTATATGTTAATGACTGGCGTAGTATCTATAAACTTGTTAATAAGCATCTATGTGAACATAAATTTATTGTTTTCGATTTAAGTGTACCTCCTGAACATCCACATAGAGTACGAATTGGTTGGGATAAAATTTTGACATTAGACGAATAAACCAAGGTTAAAACAATCAAATAATTATTTTTTTTCCGTTATTTATTAATACAGCAATATACATCTTATCTGCCACTTCTTATATTATTGAGAAGCTGATCGATCCTGCTGATTTGAAGCTAGAGTGATGGTTCTAACATCCTACTCGCTACTATCCTCCAATGGAATAGCTATCAGTATCCAGCCTGATTGAGATGTTGAAAAATAAATTCTATTTGTACCGAGGGGGTTTTTTGTGTCAGATAAAATAAAACTAAAGTAAAAAATGTTACCGACCATCAGGATAACGAAATAAAGTCTAAAGTCTATGCTCCTATTTCTAAAAGTCGCTTTCGGAATCTAACCTGCAATTGACTCTTTTTGGAATCTATCCAATTAACTGGAATATAATATTCTTCATATTGTCTATTAATAATGGAACTGCGCATCATAGGATCGTTTTTATATATTTCAATCCATTTAGTACGCCATTGATTAAATTGTTCTCGAGTCTGAGGATTTTTTACTTTACGTCTCGTTAAACCTAGAAACTTTCCATCGTCTGGAGTATTATCATTTGCTAAGCTGTTCCAAGCAAGTCGTGCATTTAATGGCCCCCTCTCTCTAAAATTTCTCCAAGCTCTTTGTATAAGCCTTGCATGACCAAAATCAGTTTGTGGTCTTGAGCATTCATAATTATAATGTTCGTTCATTAAATCGAATGGATCTGCTTTTGGACCTAAATTAACATTAACATGCATAAGTTTCATATATCGAAAACATATTGCAGTACCATCTTCATATGGTCTACTTCTACTATATTTATATTTATCAAAATTTGCACCTTGGGTGTATGAGGCATGAAGACAATACTGGTGATAGGTACTACGTGGAGCTCCTGGACCCAATAACTCTTGAAGAGACATCCTAACATGACATGCCCACTGAATAGGTGTTTCATCATCAAAGATCATACTAATAGAATCATAAGGCCTCTCAGCATCGATAATTCTATTAAGAACATTATGTCCACCAGTTCTTGCGATCCTTTTATTTATATCGTGTTCTGCTCTCGACATATTTAATGATTATATGAGATTTAAGATTATTAGACCTATTAGATTTGGTTCGATATATATGATTAAATCTGGATTCAATTTTAGTGCAATTGGGTTTTTGGACCATATCTGCGGGAGTGTTATAATCGTCATATTTTGTGAGTGATGTATACGATGAGAATGGGAGAGATCCATATGAATCTTTAGATTCGCCAGCACGGGTGTAAGGTCTGTGACGAATGCAATCATCATTCACACCTATTACTATATTGCAAAACATGCAAATGGAATATATAAGCGATGTGAATGTAATAATAGTTAAGGGACATGTCCCCCTCCGATGTTGTACTTAGTAAATTTTTCTTGTGCAACACGTGATCGTAAGATT